AGAGGAGGAGGAGGAGGAGGAGGAGGAGGAGGAGGAGGAGGAGGAGGAGGAGGAGGAGGAGGAGGAGGAGGAGGGAGGAGGAGGAGGAGGAGAGGCTAGGAGGAGGAGGAGGAGGAGGAGGAGGAGGAGGAGGAGGAGGAGGAGGAGGAGGAGCGCTCGGGCGTCGGAGAGTCCAGGCGCACAGGGGCGGAGGCGCGGGGGGCGGCCGTGGCAAGCCACGGCGGCACGGGCGGCGGGAGGGCGGCGGCCAGCAGCTGGAGCCGGCGGGCGGGCGCAGTGGGACGCCACGAACGGCAGAGGTACAGTCGGGGCCCTGAAGAAGGAACCCTTTTCGTTGGGGAGGGGCTCCGTGTTTGCCTTGGATTTTCGTTAGGTTTTCGATACGAAATCGAAGTTTAACTTGTGGAAAAAAGGAGCCTCGTTCCTTATTTAGGGTTCCTTAGGTCAAGGCCCCGACTGTGCCGCGGCGCGCCGAGGAGTGGGCATAGCACCGAGCTGTGCGGAGGCAGGAGCAACGCAGCCAGATAGCGGGCAGTGGCGGTGTTGCGGCGCGACCGCCCAAGGGCGCGCCGGGTGGCCAAAGGGCATAGAGGGGTGGGGCAGGAGGCGGCGGGAGAAGCGTCCCAGGCGCCCGCAGGCGGCGGGGCGGAACAGCAGCGCAACGGGAGGAGGAAGCGCGGGCTTGCCGCAGCAGCAGGGGAGCACCGAAAGGTGCAGAAGCGGGGTAGCAACGCAGGGCGGCCCCACGGGCGGTCCAGCGTGGTGCAGCATAGAAGCACCGAATTGGTGCAGGGGACGGTGAGTGAGCGACGCGCGCCCTGAACGGGAGGTACGTCGCGAGGGGGCGGCGGCGGGGAGCACCGAAAGGTTCGGAAGCCGGGTAAGCAGAGAAGCGCCGGAGTGGTGCAGGGGACAGTGTTTGTAACGTCGGCGGGGCAACAACAACATGACATGGCCCCCCAAGGACGGCGAAGCCCCGCTCAGGTCTGCGTAGTGCCTCACTCCGCTGGACCCACCAGCAGCCCTCGAAAGTGGCGAGCCCACCAGCAGCCTTCGAAAGTGGCGTCAGTTTCGCAGATCGCAGCCCCCCAAAGACGGGGAGGTCCCGCTCAGATCCGCGCGATGCCTCACTCCGCTGGACCCAGCAGCCTTCGAAAGTGGCGACCGTTTCGCAGATCGCAGCTTCCCAGGGACGGGGAGGTACCGCTCAGAATTGCGCGGAGCCTCACTCTGCTGGACCCACCAGCAGCCCTCGAAAGTAGTGACAGTTTCGCAGACCGCAGCCCCCCAGGGACGGGGAGGTACCGCTCAGAATTGCGCGGAGCGTCACTCTGCTGGACCCACCAGCAGCCCTCGAAAGTGGCGACAGTTTCGCAGACCGCAGCCCCCCAGGGACGGGGAGGTCCCGCTCAGATCCGCGCGGTGCCTCACTCTGCTGGACCCACCAGCAGCCTTCGAAAGTGGCGACAGTTACGCAGATCGCAGCCCCCCAGGGACGGGGAGGTCCCGCTTAGATCTGCGCGGGCTTCACTCCGCTGGGCCCACCAGCAGCCCTCGAAAGTGGCGTCAGTTTCGAAGATCGCAGCCCCCCCCCATGGACGGCGAGGTTTCGCGGGAGGCAGGAGGCGGGAGGCAGGGGGCGGGAGGCGGGAGGAAGGCCGCGCGATCGCCCAGCCGAGGAGGGAAGAAAAGTCATCGCCGGGATCTCGGTGACTTCTCTCGGACGAATCTCGTGCCCGGGGGCCGGGCGGGGGAAGCTGAGTGCCAGCCTTCGACGTCGGGCGGGGACCTGCTCGCGTCGGCCGCTGGCAGGGGACAGGACGCTCGCCGCCCCCCGAGAGGGTCGGCCCGCCCCAGCCCGAGCGGCAGCCGCTCCTCCCAGGCCGCTGCTGTGGATCACGTCCGTCTAGCCGTGGGCGGGGAAGCCAAACCTTCCAAGGGACTTGATCGTCCTCGTCGTTCTGGCAGGATCGCGTGGCCTTGACGCTGCGGCAACATCGCGTGATCCCTTCGTAGCCCGCTGCTACGTCTACCTTCGAGGACGGGACAACGAGCCCTGCTAGTCAAACTGAGAGGGGACGTTTATGAGAGGTGGATCGCAGGAGCCTCGCGCGGGATACTGTGGGCTCGGCTCATTGCGCAATCTGGTATGCATGGTGGGCGTAAGTGTATCTGCAGGCCACATATCATCGCCAGGGTAAGGAGATTCTTGGTGACGGTGGTGGTCTGTATTTTTATTTGGCTCCCCGGAATTTGCATATCATATTGGGCTGGCCTCCGGCCAGTGCCCCCGATCCGGGGGGGTGAGAGCGAGATGATGATGGGGATCCTGGGGACGTCTTGGAGGCTTCTGGAGCCGTCTTGGGGGCATCTTGCGCGGCTTGGAGCGATGTTTCGGCGAGTCGGGGCCCTCTTGGACCGTCTAGGGGGCCTCGTGGGCCTCTCCTGGCTTTTTCTTGGGCCGTCTTGTGCGGTCTGGGCTCTGGACTTGGGTCGTCTTGTGGCGCTCCTGGGCCGTCTTGGGCCCTGCGGGGGCCGTCTTCGAGCCCTCTTGGGGGCCTGTTGGCGTGTCTTAGGGAGCTCTGGGGCCGTCTTGGACATTGTGAAGGCCCAAGAAACGACTATGCCGAAGTTACGCTACCGATGAACCCCACATACTGATTTTTAATATTATGTGTTTGCTTGTCATTATCATCTATGCGCAATCCTGCGTTCTAAACCCTCGTCGCGAATCGTCGTCGTACTTGTCGTACTCGTCGTCGTACTCGTCGTACTCGTCGTAGTCGTCGTCGTACTCGTTGCCGTTCTATCGTCTTACTCGTCATCGTACTCGTCGTCGTACCTCGCCATCGTACTCGTCTTCGCATTCGTCGTCGTGCTCGTTGCACTCGTCGTCGCACCTCGTCGCACCCGGCTGGAGCCAAGGTGTTTACAGCTCTTGACAAGATACGAGCTCCCACCCCCAGCGCACCCCCTCTGGTGTCGAGGAAGTGCCACGCCTGCCACGCTTTGCGAGCCCGAAACGCATAGGGCCCCCACCCCCAGCGCACCCCCTCTGGTGTCGAGGAAGTGCCACGCCTGCCACGCTTTGCGAGCCCGAAACGCATAGGGCCCCCACCCCCAGCGCACCCCCTCTGGTGTCGAGGAAGTGCCACGCCTGCCACGCTTTGCGAGCCCGAAACGCATAGGGCCCCCACCCCCAGCGCACCCCCTCTGGTGTCGAGGAAGTGCCACGCCTGCCACGCTTTGCGAGCCCGAAACGCATAGGGCCCCCACCCCCAGCGCACCCCCTCTGGTGTCGAGGAAGTGCCACGCCTGCCACGCTTTGCGAGCCCGAAACGCATAGGGCCCCCACCCCCAGCGCACCCCCTCTGGTGTCGAGGAAGTGCCACGCCTGCCACGCTTTGCGAGCCCGAAGCGCATAGGGCCCCCACCCCCAGCGCACCCCCTCTGGTGTCGAGGAAGTGCCACGCCTGCCACGCTTTGCGAGCCCGAAACGCATAGGGCCCCCACCCCCAGCGCACCCCCTCTGGTGTCGAGGAAGTGCCACGCCTGCCACGCTTTGCGAGCCCGAAGCGCATAGGTGTCGAGGAAGGCCACGCCTGCCACGCTTTGCGAGCCCGAACCATAGGGCCCCCACCCCCAGCGCCCCCTCTGGTGTCGAGGAAGTGCCACGCCTGCCACGCTTTGCGAGCCGAAACGCATAGGGCCCCCACCCCCAGCGCACCCCCTCTGGTGTCGAGGAAGTGCCACGCCTGCCACGCTTTGCGAGCCCGAAACGCATAGGGCCCCCACCCCCAGCGCACCCCCTCTGGTGTCGAGGAAGTGCCACGCCTGCCACGCTTTGCGAGCCCGAAACGCATAGGGCCCCCACCCCCAGCGCACCCCCTCGGGTGTCGAGGAAGTGCCACGCCTGCCACGCTTTGCGAGCACGAAACGCACAGGGCCCCCACCCCCAGCGCACCCCCTCTGGTATCGAGGAAGTGCCACGCCTGCTATGCCTGGACGACCGTCGTGCATGGCGGCCATATCGGGACGTGTCTCATGTGGGTGCCCACTATGTGGCGCACACGTCGTGGATGTGTGATGCAGTGAACACGCCAGGCGCGCACGAAAATGCCACCCCTGCCACGCTCTGCCGTGCCGTGCCCTGCGAGCCTGCCCTGTGTGCTATGCTGTGCTGAGCTGTGCTGTGATGTGCTGTGCGGTGCCGAGCTGAGCTGAGCTGTGCTGAGCTGTGCTGTGCTGTGCTGTGCTGCGCTGTGCTGTGCTGTGCTGTGCTGCGTTGAGCTGTGCTATGCTGTGCTGTGCTGTGCTGTGCTGTGCTGTGCTGTGCTGTGCTGTGCTGTGCTGCGTTGAGCTGTGCTGTGCTGTGCTGTGCTGTGCTGTGCTGTGCTGCGCTGTGTGAGAAGGAGAGAGAGGTAAGGTGTGTGAGAGGTGTGTGAGTGTCGCGGGTGCGGCGCGGCAAGCAAGAAAACCATAACCCCACGAAGCATGTGGGGAAATATACGTTTTCCCAACGGAATGGGTCTATTTGTCAGTCTTTGGGCATTCTTGGGAAGTGTCGTGAGGGATCCTGGGGAAGTCTTGGAGGTTTCTGGAACTGTCTTCGGGGCATCTTGGGCGGTTCGAGCGATGTTTCGGCGATTCGGGGCCCTCTTGCATTGTCTAGGGGGCCTCTGGGGCCTCTCTTGGCTTCCTGTTGGGCTGTCTTGGGCGGTCGGGGCTCCGGAAGTGGAGTTTTCTATACCCCCCTGTCCCCGGGTACCGAAAAACGTCGGAAATGACGTCGGAAATATTCCCGTGTACCGAAAAACGTCGGAAATGACGTCGGAAATAACGTAGCCCCCCCCTGCAGAGCGAAGCTTGAGCGAGCTCAAGTCCACGCTCTCAGAAACTCACACGCCGGATCGGCGGACTTTTTGTTTTGCCCATTGCATGGGCCAGGGTGACACAGCGAGGATTGCGATGACGATGACGGCGACGCGTCGGCTGCGGAGGAGACAACCGAGAACGCCACGCTGCCGTCGAACCAGTCCGAGGCCGCAAGGGAAGCTCGTTCTGCTGGTCCAGTTACCCACACGGCTCCGGAGTTGCCGGACCTCCCTGCCAACACGGCTCCAGAGGCGCCAAATAGCTTCCTGCTGCCAGAGCAGCTGCCGTGCTGGTCCAGCGCGGCTGGTGGCGCGCCTCAGGAGGAGGAGGAGGAGATGGGTTCCGCCGAGCAATCGCTGACCGACAGCAGCACGTGCGCTGGCACCAGGCCTCTGGACGCCGCCACGCCCGCTGGCGGAGGTACTGATAGCGTTGCCGCCTCGCCGGCACCAGCCGCAGAGGTGACCGCTGAGCATCCCGCACGCCAGGAAGCGTCAGATCGGTCGAGCTTCGACGCGACATGGAGGCCCAGCGCAGAGGGAGCGCGGGGGGAGGAGGAGCCTGTGCTCGGGGACTCCACAGGCCGACGTCCAGAGGCTGCTGCCGGGCCCGGCGCAGAGGCGCCCGCTGCCACCGGGGTGGCGGCAGGCTCTGGGCTACCTCAAGCCGCGTGCGGCTCTCCAGCAGCTGTGGCCGGTGCCGCCCTGGAAGGTGCTCATCCTTCATCGAGCTTCTGCGACGCTCCCCTGCGCATGGCTGTGGAAGGCAGTGCACGTCGCCCCGATGCCGCGGCGCCCTCGTCTGCCGACGCACCAGCGGCATCTGCAGGCACTGGGCCCCCTGCTGCGCCCCAGGACGGGCTGAGCCGTGGAGCGAGAGTCACGGAGCCCGGGGACAGCGCAACCCACCCCCACCCCCACCCCCAGCCAGGATCCCCACCCCCGACCTGGTGATGGAGGGTTTCTCCGAAGGGCTTAGGCGACCCGTCTTCCTCCTCGTCCTCCTCCTCCTCCTCCTCCTCCTCCTCCATCTTCTCCTCCTCCTCCTCCTCCTCCTCCGCCGTCAGGCCGAGGCAATTTTCAAATGCCTCGCCACCGCGGATAAGCGGTGCAGCCTGGGCTCCCTGTGGCACCGCCTGAATGCGGTGTGGGTCCGATGATGTCAGATCCTTATCCCGCCCGCGTTCCGGGTGCGATAAGGATAGGGCGGAGGGCGGCACTTCCCCCTGGGAGGTTCGTGGTCGTTCGTTGTCGTCCTTCGTGTCTCGTTTCGTCGTCGTGTCCGTCGCCCTTTTCCTCTTTGGGAGTTGCGGCACGGCCCTGGATTAGGTTCCAGGGTGGACGTTGTTTGCGCTCCTGGGCCGGAGAGTGGCCCCCTCCCCCTCCCCCTCCCTGCTGCCGCTGCTGGTGCCGTTGCAGCTGTCAGGCCAGGGCTTTTAGTGCCCTGCCACCTCGGCCAAGAGGTGCGGCCTGGGCGCGGGAAGACCCCAGTGGCACCTCCTGGTCTGAGGTGTACCGCCGTTTGACGACCACGGAGGCGGGGCCCGCGGCTTTCCGCCTGTAACCTCTTGGTTGCAGTGCTCTTTGCCGCGGGCACACTGTTGCCGTGCTTGTGAGGGTGCGGGCGCTGGGCAACGCTCCGTGTATTGTCCCTTGGGCGCCGATCCCGAACCCCCGTGCGCCATTTTGGCGCGGGGTGTAGGGCGGTCCTTGGTTTGCTTTCTTTTCCTGGATTTCCTCCCTAAGGCACAGCGTTTCTGGCGCTATTGGGAGTTAGTCAAGGAAAGGAGGCCGGAGGTCAGGTCCCAGCTTGTGTCCGTGATTCCCTCTTTTTGCGCGTGTGCCCTTTGGTGTTGGCCGTTGGCCACTTTGGCCGTTGGCCAGGGCACGTTGGCCCGCGCTTTGCTGAGCGCCACGGTTTTGTTCTGCCTTTTGGGCCTGCAACATCCTCCTCCTCCTCCCTCCTCCTCCTCCTCCTCCTCCTCCTCCTCCTCCTCCTCCTCCTCCTCCTCCTACTCGGGTTGCCTACGGCCCTGGGGGAAACCGTGCACCCGGTGATCCATGGGGGTCCTGGCTGGGGGGGGGCTTTTTTGGGCTTTGAGGGGACAAATTCACCCTCACCCTCAGCCAGGTCCCGCCGAGTCGCCAGGTCTGGGGTTGGGGTCCTGGCTGGGGGTGGGTGGTGTGGGTGGTGCTGTCCGCAGGTGCTGAGCAAGACCGGGAAGGAGAGAGCGTGCACGATCGCAGAGGTCCTCATGGGCCAGGTCCAGATCCACTTCGACGGCTTCGACAGCAGGCACGACGAGTGGCTGCCGAAGGAGTCGACACGGATCGTGGCGGTAATCGAGACCACGCCGGGCCGCAGCCCCCCCGAGGAGAGCTCCGCATCGGGCCCAGCTTGCCCAGCAGCGCGCGGGGCCCACACGCCAGCCGGGCTGGCTCTGGTGCGCGGCGGGGCGCCCTGTCCGGCAGCGGGCGCGCCCCCTGCCTTGCCAGCATGGAAGAATAACAACACTGCACATACCTAAATTTGCGGAGCGGAACTCCGTGCGGATTTCTTGGAGTGGCGCCGGGCCCTCCCTTGCGGCGCCTCCGGCGCCGCCCCTGGCGCGCTCCGCGCGCCAGGGAGGGGGTCCGGCGCAGATCCAAGAAGTCCGCGCGGAGATCCGGGAGTTTAAGTCTGTGCCGTCTTGTCTTTCTCCGCAGCCTCGGCGGCAGCAGCGGCAGCAGTACCGCGGGCATCGCCAGCGGCGGTGGCGCCGGCAGGCCCAGCGGCAGCAGCGGCGGTGGCGCCCTCGACCGCCCCAGCGGCAGCTGCGGCCGCAGCACCGCCAGCAGCGTCCGCAGCGGCCGTGCCGGCAGGCACAGCAGCAGCAGCAGCAGCAGCAGCAGCAGCAGCAGCAGCAGCAGCAGCAGCAGCAGCGGCGGGGGGCTCCGGGGGGGGACCCTCGGGCGCGGGTGGCGGCGGGCTGGCCTGTGGGGCGAGGCTGCTGGTGCTGAGCAAGACCGGGAAGGAGAGGGAGTGCACCGTCGTGGAGGTCTCCGGGGGGGGGCGGAGAGGGGGCCCAGGCGGCGGCGATGGGTCGAGCCCTGCCCTCGCCGATCAACGCGTCAGGCAGCTCGATGGGCGGCGGGGGTAATTACTCCAGATTTCGTAATAAAAGGGGAGGGGGTCTGGACCCTCCAAGACAAGCCATTTCAGACCTCCCCCGTGGCAGAACCCTCCAAAACATCGTCCCCAGACCCCCCAGGCCCTCCAAGATAGCCTGGAAGAGAACCCCCCCCGAAATGAGACCACCCTCCCTTTATTACGAAATCTGGAGTAGGGTTCGGACTCCGCCATACTCTCCAAATTCCGTCTTCGGCGTCGATTCGCGTCGATTAGCGTCTGGGAGTCGATGAGCCAGCGCCAACTTTAGCGTCGATTAGTGTGGACTTAGCGTCGATCAGCGTCGACGAGCGTCGATTAGCGTCGATTTGCAAGAGCCGACACGATGGTATGGTAGGCTCCCATGATGTGCCACCGAAGGCGGAAAAGTCTATTTTGTAAGAGTCTTCGCCCGCGAACTCGTCCGCGCACGTGCCATCAACTTTTGGCTGTCCGCGTGGATTTCTCGCATCTGCGCTGGGACCCCCTGGCGGCGCCTCTGGCGCCGCCCCTGGCGCGCTCCGCGTGCCAGGGAGGGGGTCCAGCGCAGATCCAAGAAATCCGTGCGGAGCGCCGACAGTTCATGTTTTTCTGGCGATTTTTTCTTTTTCATAATCGCCGCTAGCTGGCGCTAATCGACGCCCATCGACGCGAAGTCGACGCTGATCGACGCTGCATCGGCGACTCCCCATCGATTATCACAGGCTAGCGCACGTCAGCGCACTCCGAAGACGGGATTCCAAGGACATGCCAGGATCCCATGGCTTGCAACCGAGCGGAGGGACGGGGGTCGGCGGCGAGCGAGGGGGGGAAGTGAGAAGGCGAAGGGCCTTCTCCGAAGGTGGCGGGGCCTCTCAGAGGCCCTCCAGCCTTCTGAGAAGCTTCCTGTGTCTTCGGGGAGGGTTCAGAAGACTGCTCAGGAGGCCGGAGGACTTCCGAACCTTCTGAGAAGGCCCGCCCCGTCTGACTTCCCCCCCGGCTCGCCGCCGAAGGTAGGGTCGGAGGGTCGCGCTCGATCCAGACGTCGCCGATGTATCGCCGGTGCGAGGCCTCGCGGATACGGTCCGCGCGGAGTCCCCGCGAAAGAACGCCGTGTGTCCGCGGGGTCGCGGCCCATGGGCTAGAGGTCCGCCAGATCCAGAGCCTGATTTTCTTCACCCCGACGTCGCCGATGTATGGCCGATGCGTCGATCATGCAGTGCGATGCGTCGCCGATGCGTCGCCGATGCGTCGCCGATGCGTCGCCGATGCGTCGGAGAGGGGGGGAGCTTCAAAGGACGAAAAGGTACCGGAACCCATGCCGCTACCAGTACTTCATCTTCGCCTTTTCTGGGCGTTCTGTGAGGCCCTCTTCGCCACGGCTGGATTCGCCTCGAAATCCTGTTCAGAAGGCACGCGGGGAGGGGTCTGGGGAGTAGCGGTATCGGTACTTGATTCCTCCAGGGCCGCCAGGGTGCGGCTGTCGGGGACCCTGGGACCCGGGCGCTGCGCTTTTTTTCACGCCTGGCGCCTTCGCCAAGTTTCGGGCCCCAGGGCCGACACAGATACGTCTGGCTCTGACAGTGCCACAGTGAGATTGTGTGTGGGGCCCTGGTCGTGATTCTTCGCGATGGTGCAGTTTTTTCGCAACGTCGGATCTCAGGGAAGCTGGACGCACGTGACGCGGCCGCCCTGGCCGAGGGCCGCACATCTTTCCAGCGCTCTGGCCGGCGGCGCCGCTCTTTCTCGTGTGCATCCAGGGCTTGGCCTCCGGATGTTCCGCATGTGAATCCAGCCACGCGTGCGTTCAAGCTTCCTGGGAAGGGCTGTGCGACAGCATCATGGCTGGGGCGCTGAAGTCTCCCAGCTTTCACTGCCCGGCGGCGTGCCCGCGGGGGGAGCGAGAAGGAGCAGGCCTTCTCAGACGGCGGCGAGGCTTCCCAGAAGCCCTCTGGCCTTCTGAGAAGTTCTTGGTGTCTTCAGGCCAGGCTTGGACAGCTTTTCGGACGGCACGAGGCTTTCGGAGCCTTCCCCTCCCCCCTGGGCTCGCCTCCCCCAGGGCTCGCCGCCCGCCCTCCTCTTCTTCTGTCCATGCATCCTGTGCCCCCCCTCCCAAAACAAATAATGAAGGAAACAATAAAACAAACAAAAACAATTACGAACAAATAAACAGATGCATCCTGTGGCCCCCCTCCGCTCGTCCGCGCACACGCTCCGGCGGCCACGATGCGCTGACCCCCCGTCTCCGTGGCCCCCTTTCTGCTTCGGCGCACCCAGGGAGGTCCTCATGGGCCAGATCCAGGTCCACTACGAGGGCTTCGACAGCAGGCACGACGAGTGGCTGCCGAAGGACTCGACGCGGATCGTGACTGTAGTCGAGCCCGCAGAGAAGGATGGCCTTGCCTTGGGTGACCCGTCTCGCCCAGGTGCAAGCAGTAAGGAGGAGCTCTTGGTCGAGGTCCCCCTCCGAAGAGCATCAGACTCTCCCGCAGCGCTGGCTGGCGCGGCCCCAGAAGAGCCTGACGCAGGTCCTGGCGAGCCCCGCCAGTACATGGCTACAGATACGAAGACTGTACCAGCACAAGATTGCACCGCCAGCCCTGATACTCAGATGCCCTTTACTGTCAACTCAGACGCAGCAGCAGCAGCACCTGGAGTCATCGGGCCCCCTGCCGCGCCCCGTGACGGACTGAGCCGCGGAGCGAGAGTCACGGTGCTGAGCAAGACCGGGAAGGAGAGAGCGTGCACGATCGCAGAGGTCCTCATGGGCCAGGTCCAGGTCCACTACGAGGGCTTCGACAGCAGGCACGACGAGTGGCTGCCGAGGGACTCGACGCGGATCGTGGCGGTAGTCGAGCCCGCAGAGAAGGATGGCCTTGCCTTGGGTGACCCGTCGAGCCCATGTGCAAGCAGTAAGGAGGAGCTCTTGGTCGAGGTCCCTCTCCGAAGAGCATCAGACTCTCCCGCAGCGCTGGCTGGCGCGGCCCCAGAAGAGACTGCAGTCGAGGCCGCCGGTGACCGTGATGGCGCTGGGCTCGAGCCGTCGAGCCAGCAGGCCAGCAGGGAGGAGGATCGGAGACTTTCACGGCACCTGCTGGCCCAATGCCCCCTTCCTGTCCAGGCCTCCCAGATGGGGTCCGAGTCGATGGGGTCGGTGGATCGCGCCGTATCGCCGATGCGTCGGGGATGCGGCTCGATGTGGAGCCCAACTTTCTCCTCGCCGGCGCCGCCGTCGTCGCCGCTGCGTTGCCAATGCGTCGGCGATGCATCGCCGATGCGTCGTCGATGTTGCGCGACCTTCCGATCCCATCTGCTCGGGCCCCATTTGGGAGGCCTCCATCCTCGCGCCCTCGTCCCCCCGCGGGGGGCGAAAGGGGGAGGGGGGGGGATCCAGGGGGCAGGAGAGCCCCAGCCAGACCAGCAAGGTGGGGGATCTCTTTGTTGCGCCGCAGCGCGGCCGAGGCGGTCCGCACGCGCGTTCCAGCAGCCTGGGGCGCATGGCGTATTAATTCTCCCGAGTGCACTAGACCCGTGCGTTCGGGATGATCCGCACCAGGCGAGACTCTTTGGGGGCAGACGGGACTCTTTCGGGGGAAGCGCGGTGTACACTGATCATTGAGATGGCCCCGCGTAGTCTGCCTTCGCTGCCGAAGAAGAGAAAATTTTCCCGACTGCAAGAGGTGGGGGGAAAGAAGGAGAGTCAGGAGGGAAAGAAACACACAGACACAATTAATCGTCGATCCCCAGGAAAATATGGGAAAATGTGGGAGGTGGGGGGGAAGACAAAAGCCCAGACAATATGGGAAAATATGGGGAATCCTTTTATTTGTGTGCATTTATTTGTGTGTCCCAGGGCCCCTTTAGAGAGGGGCGGTCGCGGGAGGATGGGGCAGAAGGCGCGCGAGGCGCTCACGCAGCGGGGGGACCGCCGCGGGGAGGCCGGGGGTGGCCGTGCAGGGGGTCCCCGGGCGTGGTGGGGTGCTGGCCCCCTCGAGGAGCGCCCCCAGAGTCGAGCCCCGACCCTCTCCTCCTCCTCCTCCTCCTCCGCCTCCTCCTCCGCCTCCTCCTCCTCCTCCTCCTGTGGGGAGTGCACCCCAAGAGTCGAGCCCAGATCGCCCCTCTTCTCTCCTTTGTGTCTGGCTGGGGCTTTCCCTGCCCGCTCGAAGGACTGGGCAGGGTGGACGTGGTGAGGGCCTCCCGTCGAGGAGGAGCATGCACCCGTGCAAGCTGCCCTTGCTTCGTCTTCCCCTTTTTGGGCTATCCGGGAGGCCCTCGTCGCCCCCGCCGGATTCGGCTCGAAATTCTGGCCAGAGGGCACCCCCCAGAGAAGTCTGGGGAGCTGCGGTATCGCAATTCTTGGTTTCCCCACTCCCGGAGGAGATCTTGGCCGAGGGCCCACGCCTGGAAGGATGTGGCGCTCCATCGGCAGCTCAGGGGCACGACTGCTCGCAGCCAGAGGAGGCTCCATCGGATACGGCGTCACATGCGCGGGGCTGCCCCGAAGCTGCCGACGAGGGTGCCACGCAGGACCGCGGTGTCCACGGCTCCATTCTGTGCTCTGTGCTCCGACCCGTTTCATGGGCGTGCAGGGGGGCAAAAGGGGCCTGTCCAGGGCTGGCCGTGGGGCGCGTGGGTCGCGTCAGTGAACGGGCTCGGTGCTCGGAGTGACATGGGAGGGGAACTGCGGCTCCCCCGCCAAGCCCCAATCCGCTCAAAGTCTTTCTCCAGACCCCTCCTGGGGTCCATCCCTGACCCACTTTCCGCAGCGGATCCAGCCGTGGCGACGAGAAGCCCCCGGAAGGCCCACAAAAGGCGCGCGGGGGGCCGATCGGGCCGTTTGGTGGAGTAGCCCCTTTTTTCGCTTGGGCCTGCTCGAGATGTGTGTTGCTGCTCGGGCCTGGCAGCTGTCGGACGAGGGTGGCCCACTGGCTCGCTCTGTGCACTGGGTCGGCTTGGGTCCAGCCTCTGAGCGTGCGTTTGGCCGCAGGGGCCCGGGGCCTCACTCGTCTGGCCAGGTTTTTCTGGTGGAGAAATATGAGGAGCCTCGCCCGTTCGTCCAGACCCTGTAAATAGGGAATCGCATGCAAGACAATATCTGGCATCAGAAGGGGCAGTGCCACTCATAAGGGGCAGTATTGCAAGCCAGTGTTACCGTTCACCATGGTAATGCGCACCATGAGCAAGAGCATATAAGCATAGGATTCATATCCAGAAGGACAGTTAGCCATACTGCTAACAGCAGCACGCATCTTGGTATTAGCAAGAACGCTAACAGTTCTTATGAGCATTGTCTGTCGTACTCCTGGCGTGACTAATGTTAGTGAGGCCACCACTCATAAGGATCGTACTGGGCCTGCTCGTATCAAAGGGAGGAGCCGAAGGAGGAGTCCTCCTCTCTCTCCTCCCGGCGGGGCCAGCGACCGGAGGAGATCGCGCTGGGGGCGATGTGCGCGGAGCTCGCGGGCGAGGTGGACCAGCTGCGCGTCCAGGAGCACACTCTTCTTTCGGGTTGGGGCAGTGGCGAGGGGGCGGAGGAGGAGGAAGAGGAGGAGGAGGAGAAGGAGGAAGAGGAGGAGGATGAGGAGGAGAAACAGGAGGAGAAGGAGGGGAAGGAGGATGAGGATGATGAGGAGGAGGAGGAGGATGAGATGAGGATGAGGATGAGGAGGAGGAGGAGGAGGAGGAGGAGGAGGAGGAGGATGAGGATGAGGAGGAGGAGGAGGAGGAGGAGGAGGAGGAGGAGGAGGAGGAGGAGGAGGAGGAGGAGGGAGGAGGAGGAGGAGGTGGAGGAGGAGGAGGAGGGAGGAGGAGGAGGAGGAGGAGGACTGAGCCCGCCGAGGCCTGGAGTGCGACCCGCAGCGCCGGCCGCCCACCGTGCCGCGCGGCCCATTGTGGGCTCGAGGGCACCGTCCGGTGGGGAGTCAGGCAGGCCTCGAACTCGCCCTCCCCCCTTTCTCTTCTCCTTTCCCCCCCGCACATCCAGAGGAGGGGTCGGCCAGTTCTCTGTCCTGGCCGCGTGGCCGATACCACCGGCCCCAGGGGGGGGGGGGACATTTTGTTAACCTCTCGGTCCCGTCGTTGCACCACCGAGCGAGTAATAAAAAAGAAAAAATCGAATCGAGATGTATCGGCCGAGAGCGTTCCCGAACGCTCTCAGAGGGTTCCAGAAACTTCCCAAACGGCCGCGGCGCCCGACGCATCTTCCAGTACTGCCGATTCTCCGATCTTTCCGATTTTTGTCAGCCCGACTTGGTTCCTATTCTGCTACTGTCCCAGGGATGGACCCAGGCATTCTCGCGTCGCGAAGAAGTCGCTACGGGAGTTTTTTGGCCGTTTTTCGGCCTCTGGGGGCCCCTCCCTGGCCCTGGGACCGTCAAAAACGACGTGGGACACAAAACAGGCCCTGGAAAAATGGTCGGGACTTCCAGGGACTCCTTGTCACTTTATCCTGCGACGTATCCAACCCATATCCACGAATTGATAAAGACGATGGTGATGATGATGATGCTGCTGCTGCTGCTGCTGCTGCTGATGATGATGATGATGATGATGATGGTGGTGGTGGTGGTGGTGGTGATGATAATGATGATGGTGATGATGCTTGTGATGCTACTGCTGCTGCTGATGCTGCTGCTGCTGATGATGACGATGATGCTTGTTAGTGTAATTCGGATGATGTGAGCACAGCGGTTATGTTGGTGGAAATGATCTGCAGCTTTCTCGCGCCGAACCCGCTCCGCGCTGCGCACCCTCTGGGCGCGGTCCACGAACCTGCCCTTGGATTCGAGGGCTATTCACGGGCCACTTCTAGCGGCGAGCAGGCCGCTCCAGGGGCGGCGGAGGATCCAGAAGGGGCCCCCTGGGTCGTCATCCCAGACAACACCCATCGCGAGCCGCCCAGGGGGTCGGCAGGTGCTGAACCTGTGGTTCGGGCTGCCTCTGCCGCTGGCCGCTACTGCTACGCGATCTGGACCGCCCCGGGTTCAAGCGAGGACCTCGTCGGGGTGCACAGAGAAGGCGCGGTCGTGTGGCATGCGATCGTCGCCAGACTCGGAGACGGCAGGTACACCAGCTGGTGGGATCGTCTGCGTCGGTTCCCGTCGTTGGGCGAGGCAGGTGACAAGTTCTTCGAAGAGCAGCGGGACTACTCATACACGGTCAAGGTTTTCGACTGGACCAGGTCACAACGGCGACGCTGCCATCTATCTGGGGCGCTGCAGCAGACCGGGGACGTCCTGCTCCGCTCATGGCTGCTCGAGCCGCCCTCAGCCAGGGCCCGCGCCGCTGGCACGGCAGCGAGGTGCAAGGCCCAGGTCGTCGGCGCCGAGTTCGCGCGGCTCGATGGCCCCGTCGCCGTCGACGCCCTGACACAGGGCGACCTCGGCGATCTCGAGCTGGAGGAGCTTCTCATTGTGGTGCCAGCTGTCTGCCTCCCCAGCGACGACGGCTCGCTCGCCTCCGTAGGCTATGTCAGCGGACGTGGCCTGCGTGAAGGTCTCGCGGGCGTTCCTGGCGCGACTGGCCGAGAGTGGCGCGGAGGGCGAGGCGATCGAGCTTTTCGACTCAGCTGGTGGGGCTGCACAGCCGGACTTGCTCGAGTTGGCTGGTCTCGCCCCGCAGCCCGACGACTGGGGCGTCGGGGTCCTGCTCCGACCCGTCGCGTTCCCCGCCCCCGCTCCCCGGGGCATGGGGCGCGTCGGATTCTGGCTCTCCGTCGACGGGCAGATTGACGAGGAGAGGTACCTCGCCGCCGACGAGCACGACGGCGAGGGCATGGGGGGCGACGAGGTCGACGCAGCCCGCGAGGCTGCCGCGCAGGAGTGGCCAGGTCGGCCACGCGGCGCCTGCGTGGCGGGCAGTCTGCACGCGGAGGGAGAAGGGCTCCTGGCCGGCCCGGGGGGCCCAGGGCCCCGACCGCTAGGCGCCCCCCCCTCAACGTGCGACTCTGCCGCTGGCCGCGCCCGCGAAAAGGCCCGCGCCAGCCGCGCCTCCTGCGACGCGCGGGGCGTGCGGCGAGGCAGGGGCCCGCGGCGAGCGGCGCCATGAGAGCCGCGACCCCTCGGCGCGTCAACATGTCGCGCGAGGATATGCGCAGCGTCTTCGGGGGCTTCGGACCCGGCCCGCTGGGTGCTGTCGGCGGCCAACAGAGGGGCCTCTCGAGCTGAATCGAGCACGTCGAGAACAGAAGTGTGGGGGCCCGCGGCCTCGCTTCGGCGGGGCCCTCCCCTGCCGCTTCAGGGCCGCTCCTCCGGGCGGGGCCCTCAGCGAGCGGGCTGGCGCCTGCCGCCCAGGTCCCGCGCAGGTCCCCTTTCCAGATCTCGCCCGCGGCGCCGCCCAGGACAGCGGCGCAGCTCTTGAGGGCGCGGCCCGCCCCTGCGCCCTCCCGGCCAGGGCGGCAGATGAGGCCCTGGCAGCGGCGCGGGGGCTTCCCCGTCGGTGCGAGCAGGGCAGCTGCGCGGCCCCAGGGGGGGGGGCGCCCATCGAACTCGAGGCCCTCCTCGTCGAGGCAGGCGGCCTCGATGCAGACGAGGCCATCCGGCCTGCGATGCTGCGGGCGCTGGGGGAGGTCGTCGGCGAGGGAGGGCGCGCACGCCCTGGGCGACCTCCTCTTCGGTGCGCAGCGTCGAGCTCCGGAGGGGCGGGCCCAGTGTCCAGGATCGGCGGTGCCAGGGGAGCAGCAGGGCACGTGGCGTTCAACAGGGCCATCGAGCGGGAACCGTAGAGGTGTCTGCCCGCGCCGACGCCGCGGCCTTCACCGAGGTCGGCTGCGACGCCGCAGGCATGCCGTGAAGCGTGACGCTCTACGGCAGGCGGAGAATCATATTCGGGCGCCTCAAGGACCACGGGCGCTTCTGGGGGGTGCTTGCGCTTCTCCGCGCGCCGCTCAGGTCGCAGCATGCGACCTCCTCGGTGCCCAGGCCGCGCGGCCGCCGGTGAATGCGGACGGCTCCCAGAGGCTGGCCGGCTGGCCTGGCTCATCAGGGCTCCCGGGCCCTCGGCCCAGAGCGGGTCGGGCTGTGAGAGGCCTCGCCCGCCCCGCGGAGTTCGCAGCCTCGGTCGCCTCCTTGCGGGAGACGGAGGCACTCGAGACCGCCCGCGAGAGAGGGGGCGGGGGGCCGCCAGGGGCCGCGCCGGCAAGGGCCGCTCCTGGGACAGGAAGTCGAACGAGTGAAGCAACAAGATGGAACAGGACGGCGGCGGGGGGGGGCGTGGGGGGTGAGCAATCGTCCCCAGATTGGCCCGACATCATTTAGACACCGAGGGAGGCCTGCTCAGGAGGCGGGCTTTCATCGTCATTGCCAACGAATCCGACTTCGTAGTCCACGGTTGATTCGGTGATCTGCGCTCTTTCTGCGTCTGGCCTGCCGACCTCGTTCTGTGCCTTCCTCGAGGCGGGGGCCCCGAAATTCACCCCGACGGGGCATCTAGTCCTTTGGCCCTGTCGGGAGCTGCTCATGCCCTGTGGGCCTCCCCACGAGCCGCCTGAAATAGAGCTGCG